ATTATACTTTAATTATGTTTTGATTTCTTTTAATAAATACAAACTACCATTAAAAATTATCAATAATCATTATACAAGAATTGTCATTTCTTACAATTTCTTATTTGAATTAACTCAATGAATAATTAAAAATTACTTAATTAAGTGTTAATAGATTTTTCATATATTCTTCCTAATTTAAAGGAGATTAATCACATCCCTGAGCTGTTTAAAAAAGAGTAATCTTTTTCTTTAACTTATCATTTATGTTTTTCTTGCAAAATGAAAAAATCACTTCTTTGTTTTATTTCTTCTTATTATGCTTTTTCAAACTTCTTCTGCTTATTTCTTCTTTTTAACCTTTTGTTTATTTTCTGCCTTAATTTTAAACATTTTCTTTTTCCTTTTTTCTTTATTTTATGAATGAGAGAAGAGAGTATTTCATTCCCATTATATTATTATGTTTAATTTTCTTTTAGTCTTACCCACACTTTAGTACTTCCTTATATTACACCATGTAATATTCTATCATAATATCTTGCTACACCCTTTGCAACTTTACCTAATACATTTCTAATTCAAATACACCGTCATAACCAGAAAATAACTGGAAGTGTCGATGCTTGAATTTGTACTAGGGTTTGTGTGGTGTTTTAGACATGCCACCTTCGATCTCCCCAAAGAATAAATACATAATGAAAGAAGAAAATAAAAGTAGACAAGAATAATACTAAGTGATAATAAATGGATGAATATAAAAAGAACAATAAGAGTTAATGTGATATTAAATAGAGAATAAATAGAGATGAATAACAAAAAAAAAATAAAGAAGAAAAGAAAATAAAAATTCATAGAAGAACAACAATAAATAAATAAAGAAGAAATAATAATAAATTAAAAAATAAATTATTATAAATGAATCATATAAATGATATTAATATCAATTATTCTCTTATACTTCACTTATTTTATTCATATTTTATATATTTACATATGATTAATCAAATATTTAATTCATCAAATAGTTTTATATTGTAATTATTTCATGATTATTTATATTCATTTTTAATTTGTTGTTTCATTATTTCAATAATGATAAACTACATATAATTAATATAAATATGATTATAAATGTTATTATTCATTTAATTAATAACCATTCTAACAATTTGTATGATAATATTTGTGTTAAAATGTTGTGTTTTCATTATCAATTATTTATTCATTCATAATATATTCATGATATTTTCTATTTCTTATGAATTTATTAATTCATTTTCTTTTATTTTCTTTTAATATCAATATTTATTCTTTTATCGTGTCATTTTTGATAATATTGGTTATTCATTAATCTCAAATGTATATGAATTAATTCAATTTTGTAATAACATTAAACATGAATGAAATATAGGAAATATTTTATAGACATATGAATAAAAGATAAAGAAGAATACGAAAAGAAAAGAAAAGAGAGAAACACAATAATTAGAAGAAGATCAACTGAATAACAAAATCCAACAACATAAACATACCTGATGTTCCATCAAGATTATTGTGATTATCAGAAATATCAACAGAACTAACAATAGTTTTATCATGTGAAATATCAGAAGTAGTTGTATTTTTATTATCTTGTTTTTCATTTTGTTGTGGATGATTTTGTTGTTGTGGTTCTGGTTTATTATGATCTTGTTTTCCATTATCTTGTGGTTGATTTTGTGGTTGTTCTTTTGGTGGTTCATCTTTTTGTTGTGTGTCTTTATTTCCTTTTGGTTGTTGAGTTGAAGTTGATGGACTTATTTGTGTTGGGTTGTTTGTTGTTTGAGTTGGTGACGTTTCTTCACTTGGTTTTGCTGATGAATTTGGTTGACTTGGTGGTTGTTGAGGTTGTCCTTTTGAGTCTTCTTTTTGTGGTTTTTGTTCATTTGATTTTTCTGTTTTTTGTCCATTTCCTGATGGTGTTGAGACTGATGAAGGTTGGTTTTGTTGTTGTGGTGATGCAGGTGATGTACTTGATGGTTGTGATGTTGTTTCTGTAGAGTGTGTTGCTTCATTTCCTGATGCCGGGTGTGTTGTTGTTGGTGTTTGTGCACTTGTTTCTGTAGCTTGTGGTTTTTCTGATTTTTCTGATTTTGATGGTGTTTGTGTCGTATCTCCTTGGGTTGTTACTGAACCTCCTTCTGTTGGTGCTGTTCCAGATTTAGGTGTTGATACTCCCGGAGTTACAATCTCAGAATGAGTTGTTGATGAACCTCCTTCTGGTGTATCTCCTGATACTTGTTTGGATTGTAATGAATTTCCTTCTACTTTTGCTGGTGGTTCATTTCCTTTTGGTGATGTTGATGCTGGATTTTCTGCTGGTGCTAATCCTGACTGTGCTGGACTATTACCTTCTTGTGTTGTTACTGCACTTCCAGTGGGTGTTGATATTCCTGATGCTTGTGATGCAGATTGTGAATTTGCTGGTGCTGGTTCTGTTAGTGTTTCAGCTATCAAATGTATATTATTATAAATATTTTGAATGGTATTAGTCAACCGATTATATGTTTGATTTTGTGTATTTTCATCATCGTTATATTTATTCTCATGTTTATGTTGTTTAGTTCTTGTTGAATCAATCATGTTATCTTCACGTTTATTATCATCTTTATTTCCTTGTTCATTGTATTGTTCAGTCTCCAATCCTTTACTAATTACAACAATTAATATGAATAGAATCGTTGTTTATTTCTAATTAGTTCTTCTCTTTAAATATATCACACTAACATACTTCAATTTCTTTATTGTCAATTCATTATTTGAATTTGAATTGAAATTTATTTGCCTTCTTTGTATTTTTGTATTTATATTATCATTGTATATCATTCATGATTTGATGAAATGTTAAAATGTCATAATTCTTTCTACATCTCTAAAATTATTCTATTCTTGTTGTGTATTTTTATTTCAAACAAACAAAATATTATGATTGGTTAAACTCATTATTTTATTATCATATTCATATTTCTTATTCTTATATTTCTGATTTGATGATAATCTTATTTATAATACAATGAATTTGTATGATTCTGATTGAAAACAATACTAAATAATATATTAAAACATCTGTATTAATTTATATTCAATTATCAAATCATCAATAACTAAAACACAAATGTTATTCATGATTTATCAGAATTGAAAATTAAAATAATCTTAATTCAATATATATTTTGTACAACAAATCTAACTGAATAATGAATATATTAATGATTATTTATATACACAACTTATTTTCTATTTGTGTATTACCAAATTATTTCAATTATATTTAATGTTATAATGTATCAATATGTTGATACAATCATATATTCATTTCAAAATATTTATGAATATTATATTACAAGTATTTCATATATTTATTGTTATTTTTAA